GTCACAAATTAGCATTTCTAAAATGTTAGCGTGGATTAATAAAAGTGCAAAAAGACAGCGGTTGTCGCCGGAAGAAACTTCAAATACAGAGAATGCTGTGCCTGTGTTGGAAATTGTGTCTGATGGGGAGCTTTCTTTGGTTGATCCTCCTGCTCCAAGTTCTAGTGCATTAGCATTAGCACTAGCTCCGCCGCCTCCTCCAGAGCCTCTAACGTTAGCTGCTGCTGGCGCAACTGCCACCACCAACACCGGGCAAAGCGATGCACCTGACTGCTGGACAACGGACCAGGTGCAATATTTTTTGCAAGACCAATGCATGGCTCCTTCTTAAAGATAAGAAGCTAGGATGTCGGATATGCAGAGATGTCAAATCTTTGGGAATACACACTGGACAAGGACTGAAACTGTCAACTGAATGGGGTGAGTGTGCAGTGTCTCATTTCGGTGTTGACAAGGGCAAACAACAAGCTAGCCTGAGAAAAAAAATCAAAGAACATAAAGAATCACAAGCCCATGTAAAAGCTGCTGACATCCTTACATCTGCTTCACGTGAAACTATTCAACATCAAGTGCAGTCTATGCATAAATCTGAATTAGACACCACTATCAGAGTTTTTCGAACGGCATATAAAATTGGCAAACATAGCCGGCCATTCACAGACATGCCAATTGATTTGAATGTACAGAAACTGAATGGGCTGAACGTGGGCAGGGTTTTGCACTCCAATAAAACCTGTGGCGAAATCATCGACCACATAGCTCATGAGCTGAAGAAAAAAATGGCAAAAGACATTACAGAAAACCAAAGAAAACTCTGTGTTTTGGTTGATGAATCTACCACTATTAGTGGTAAAACGGTGCTTGTTGTGTGTCTACGCTCAGCATTAGCTGATGCTGAGCCCGAAACGTTTTTTTGGGAGCTGATCGAGTTGGATGGAACAACGGCTGATGACATCACAAAGGCGTTAATGGAGTGTCTTGGAAGAGATTTTAACGAGGACTTTTTAGGTCAGTGTTTCGTTTCTTTTGCATGTGATGGGGCTTCAGTCATGCTAGGGAAGAGAACAGGCGTTGCTACCCAGTTGTGTAGTAAATTCCCAAGCCTGTTTGTGTGGCACTGCTCCAATCATCGTCTAGAGCTGGCAGTTGGGGATGTGGTCAAGGAGGTCTCAGGGCTCAATCATTTCCAGATCTTTTTTGACAAACTCTATTCCTTGTTCCATGCCTCCCCCAAAAATCAGAGGCAGTTAGCGCAGTGTGCGCAAGCAGTCGGACAGCGTCTCCTGGTGATAGGGCGTGTTTTGTCCATCCGCTGGGTGGCTTCAAGTGAAAGGAGCGTCAGAGCAGTCTGGGAAAACTACCGAGTGCTTCATGATCACTTCACAAATGCTGCAAACGACACGAGCAGGGATTCCAGAGACAGAGCAAAGTACAAGGGCCTGGATGATGTGCTCACATCTGCAACGTTTGTCAGCAATCTGGGACTGATGTACGATGCGCTCACAGAGCTCAGCGACCTCTCTCGGCAACTCCAAAAAAGAGAGATGACACTGCCTACAGCAGATAGGCTCTTAACTCGAGAAATACGAGTTTTTGAATCCATGGTCACCATGCCTGGCCCACACATGACTACAGTTCATACAGCTCTAGCTGAGAAGTCCTTCAAGGGTGTTGCCCTGCGTGAGAATGGCAGGCTTGTACAGATTCATGCAGGTCAGTTTTTCCGCAGTATGGTAGAGAATCTGAGACACAGAATGACTTCCACAACCTCCTCTCATGTCAGCACAAGAGAAATCCCATTACATGGCCGGGAGGCCCGGGACAATCAGCTAATCCAGGACATGAAAGTTATCCATCCTGGAAGTTGGCCTGAAGAGGAGTTAGATGTACAGTATGGGGACGTAGAGGTGCTACGTTTGTGCGAAGTGCTGAAAGTGGACAGAAGAGAGACTGTTCAGGGCTTTCGCGAATACAAGGAAACCAGGGCATCCCGTACACCTGCTGCCATGGAGCCTCTACTGAAAGCAGTCCGAACCATCGCTGTCTCCACTAGTGAGTGTGAGCGGGCATTCAGCTGCATGAACGATATCCTTACTGCAAAAAGGAATGCTCTCTCTGTCAGCCGACTGTCCAACCTGGTTTTCATTAAATGTAATGGACCATCACTAGGACAGTTCAATCCGGAACAGTATGTGAGGTCCTGGCTGGCAAAGGGAAGGAGAAGTGCTGATGAAAGAGCCTGTCCAGCTCCAGCCCCTGATACTGATGTCCCCAAGGCCTTCTGGAGCCTTTTCTAACAATGTGAAGTATATTGCAAAGCAGCTCACCCAGTGAGAAGACTTTTGGCATAATGTGCCGATTTGTACAGATCCTGGAGATAGAAGGACTTCAGACCAACCAGGGAGTTATCTGATCAGCTTGGTATTCAATGTAACTCTTTACCATGGCTCAGACTTTGTTACTTGCAGTTACAGTTTCTCATTTTAGATTGTGCAAATTTTGCATTTGTTTTTACATGTTCTTTGTTCATGCTCTTTATCATTTTTCTGAGTTGGAAAGTTAGATTGCATCATAGTTTACTTTATACATATTTGTATTCTTCAGTGGTGAAGTATATTGCAAAGCAGCTCAGCCATGTGAGAAGACTTTTGGCACTTTTTCGTTTTCTGAGTTGGAAAGTTAGATTGCATTCAAAATGTACAGAAATACTTAATTTTGTTAAAGCTTTTTATAAAAATGCTTCTGACCAGAGCTTTGTTTCCTTGTCATTAATGTTGAACACCACCAGAGGGGCTCTCACCTGAAAGGTCTCTGCTTCATGTGTCTTCAGCAGAAGATCTAGACTTTGATTGCTATATTTTCAGTTAATATTGACCTTACTGAGCTTTAGCAATATCCGCTGCCTATCATAAAAAATGTTAAGTACAGTGAACCTTTCTAAAATATACAGTAGTAAAGAGACAAACCCACCAGCATTATAGTAGCCAAATTCTTGTTTGTGGGCTGTATATATAAAATTGACTTGAAAAAGTTGCTGATTTTAGAGTACTGGCACCTTTTTCATTCCAATTCAAGCACTGATATAAAATTGACTTGAAAAAGTTGCTGATTTTAGAGTACTGGCACCTTTTTCATTCCAATTCAAGCACTGGCTGGCCCTCTGTGAATGTAGAGGGACCAACAAGCTCTCCCGTCTTCACATAACTCGCAGAGACGGCATTTAACCCTTCACATTCCAACAGAAACTGAACAGGCAGATTCGAAGGATTTATTTCTTTGGAAATATTATTTTAAATACAATTAAATCAAGTTATTTTGGTAAAACTAATGAAAAATGTAACAACAACAAAATAATATTTTTTTAAAAAAACGTTTTTTTAAAAACGTTTTCAAATATTATTTTTTAGAATATCTTAGGCCCTCACAGAGGGCCTAGAGGGCCCTGACGGCTCGCCACTGGTCCATTAGGCTGTGGAGCTCCTGTAGGTTTCTCCGCAGTAGATCCTGTTGCTGAAGCAGAGGGTTGACCTCTGACCTCAGATCAGGCCAGTAGAAGTCTGTGAATGGACTGAGGGCAGACTGTAATCCAGGAGAGCACAGAATCTTCAGAGCTTGGCCGGTGTCAGTCCTCATGGGTTTTCTCCTCTGTGTTTCTTTCTCTCTCTGCAGTGGGACTCTCAGCTTTTATATCCGAACAGGAGGAGCTCCAGAGACATTACCACAGCTCTCCACTGGGTGAAGCTGTTACCCAGAAGTGCCGACGTCGATGGGTCTTTCCTGTGTTTTCATGTACTTTCCTGCATTTGCAAGAGATCACCACAAGATGCCCCTCAAACTCGTGCCATTAGACGTACATGTATTTAAGCAAAGTGTAGTAATCATATCATACCTCCTAATGGTTTCTCAATTTAATAAAAGTTAGTTTGGTTTTTATGTCCAGTTTGTCAAGAGACAACTTATTTAGCCAAAAAAACTAATAGTAGTAGAATAGCAGAACGGCTACCATATGGATATTATTGGAAACAGCACAGTTTTAAAATGTGGATTCATTTCATCATTATTACATCCATTTCCTTATTAGGGTTCAGCAACTCCGTAGTCTTCCTCCTAGTCCTTAGATACATTTATCTTCATCGGAAACCACATTACTCTGAAACCACTGTCTGCTTATTAGAATCAAAATCAATGATAGAGGCCAGACAGGAAGAAGCTGTAATACAATAAATAGAGATCAGAAGAGAACAGAAGATTGATGATCGCTAAGTTGTTAAATGCCTCCTCAGTCACACATAGTTTGTTGTGTGTTTTTCAGCCACATGCAAATCAGCACATGCAAATCAGTTGAATGCAGCTCATCTGGGAACAAGCTTGAATTGGAGTTTGAAACTTTATTACATCCAATATCTTTGTAAAAGCTACTCACACAATTGTGCATTTCATTAGTCTGCTAAGTAAATATTCATTTCAATGTGGTTTGCAATGCAGGCTGCTTTTGCGTGCCTTAAAAGCTTTGCCTTTATTGTGATTGCATGCCTGCCTTTTTAAATATATGTTGATGGTCAGAGGATTTTAAATCTTGTTGCAACAACAATATACTTAAATTCAAATATCGTAATTCAAAAATATTTCATCTATAAATAAATAGTCAACTGGACAAAATATCAACAGTCAGTCATATTATAATAAAACACAATTTGAAATACAAAAGTAAAAAAACAAGCACCCCCCCCTTTTTTATATTCAGCAACATGTCAGAAGTTAACTTGCCTTTCATCGTTACATAACATAATATGTTAATTTTAAAAAATTGTAAAAGAAAAACAAGAGAAAAACCAAATGAATATATGTTGACTGGGTAAGATGTCACATAGTATGTCACAAGTATTCACTTTAAACATTATGAAACAATATGTAAGGACATTACATTACATGTCTTATGTATTAAGTATTAAATACAACTTTTAGATTAAAATGGGTAAATATACATAATGCAAAAGTAGCATGATCACTCTCTTAATGAATGAAACGTCTATAAAATAAAAGTAACCTTTGAGGTAGATCAGTCTCCTACTCAGTACTCCGTAACTCTTAGGAGGAAAGGTTAATTGAATGTGACCTTAGGAACTGCCATCTTTTAGTCACATGTACATTTTGGAAATGCAAGGGGTGGCAGCCTCCATCCTATACTCAATGAGTCTAATTTGCCAGGCAAATGAGCCTCAGCAACGACCTGGAGGTCTCTGGAGCTTCTTCCATAGTGTCAACATGTCTTTGGGACTCCGTCTGTGGACGAGCAGAACAGATCTGTAAGCGCAGGGATTCCACCTGTCGTTATGAGGGAGGTCGAATGTCAAAAATCCCGGGTGATGGCTTGGCAAAAGGCCGAGTCTGTACATGCACATTCCCAGATACACATCGTCTATTGGGAAAAGGCGCACCCTCTTAGAAACCTCGTTCAATCTTAATGCTAGAGAGACAGAATACACCACCCCTCCCCCACCGGCGTATGGTGGGTATACACCTTTGTAGAAACGTTCTGGTATGTAGTACTTAGTGGATGGCTCACGGTTTGGCATCGCGTAATTGATCACCTCCCCAACAAACAAATTCATTTCAGTCTCATTTGTATATGCTTTCCACAGGTTGTGCTCCTCCCACTGCTTGTGCAGGTAATCCAGAAGGGCGCCTGTTCGAACAAAGACATCATCGTCCCCTTTGAACACGAACATGGCACTGCGGCAGTGTTGCTGGAGCCATTGCCAGAACAGCAAATCCTTTAGGGTCAAGTTAAAGAACGTGTCTTTGAAATCCCACTGTAGGATATCTCCATATTTCTGGTTCTCAAGTTCCAGGAGGTTTTTTAGGTCTGGGTGAGGACCTGTACTTGAGTCCTGCCTTCCCAACAGAAACACTGTGCGCACCAATCCGCCCTTCTTCGTTGATTCCCCTTTGACCAGACCACTGCGTCCCCAGGTTTCCCGGATGGCCTGCCTGTTTTCAAAGTTCCCCACTTGAGATTTGATGGCCATGAGAAGCATTGGTCCAAAGCTGCTATCGTTGTTCCCACAGATACCAGGTTGATTGATAAGGAGAGCATACTCCCTGCAGTGCATTGACTGTACAAACACCCTCATTTGTTCTGGGAAACTGTTGAAATCGTGCGTACGAGGAACAGAACACTTGTGTGACATGCAGTCAGAAACACATTCATCTTCGTTTTCTGCTAATAGCTTAGCGCTCATGATCCCCGTTTTGTTTCCTCGCAGTACTGGGTTGTGCTGGCGGTCCCAAGAATGCTGCAGCTGGTTCCACAGTGCACTGTCCTCCAGACGAAGGTTCCAGAAAGGGCCACGTGGGTGGGAGGCCAACTCAGAGTTAGCAGAAATCCCAGAGGCAATATAGTGGATGTTTATTTTTGGAGGACTGTAGGAGATGGTGACCAAAATGGACACCAAGATATAAAGCAGAAGGTGGGCGGTCATCATGCATGGCAGCAGGCACATGCACAGCAATCTCCCATTGCATCGGCAGTATTTGCAGCATCTTCCCATTGCCAATATACAAATCAGACACGCACCTGCACAAACAATAACACATTGTATTAAATCATAGCAGAGCAAACATTTAAATATCACTAAGCACAGACCACTGAGATGACATTTGTGTACTTGAGAGATTTTTCTAAAAGCCAACAAAGCAGGAAACCCTCTAGTGTTTCTGTCTCCTTGGTGATGGTCCAGAGAGGGTTATTATTTGCTCCTGTCTACACACTCAAGAGCATCCTCCCGTGCCGACCACACAACCCCTGTAGACACAGTGTGGAACATGTAATACGCAACAGTGGATAAACTCCTTTCTTTAGCACTAAAAGTTGAGTACACAACGCAAAAAAAAAATCCATAGAGCTTTGATAAACAATTTCTTCACAAGACTTTTGCCAATATTCTAAATGTCCTAACCCATTGCATGCACAATATTGAGAATAGCCTTACAGTCTGCTGTTTCTTTATAGACAACATAGCAAAAACGTCCAATCATTTTGTTTGTCAAGTCAAATGATTACTTATATAGCCTTACATAACTTTTTGGGAAACCTTTACAAATGTAGGCATTGGTTAAAAGCACATTTTTACTTACAAGTGTATGAACTGCCGATTGAGATTAAAGACACAGTGACTTGTGGCATCCACTTTTTGTTGTAGTGTTTTCATCCGGTATGGTTATAGTCTGGTTACGACGTGGCAGGTCTGTAGCACATCATGTATGTCCATAGCGATGATAGATAGAGACTTGCATCCTTTAAATCCAACACAGACGTCCTCTTTCGGCAGTACAGTCGCAGCTGAGCAACAGGTCCCAGGTGACAGTGCGCACAAAGCATTCGCCTCTTTTCTTGACGCCACATGTATGACAAGGGAATACTCACGGGAATAATGTAGTTTCTATGCTGTCACAGACTGGTTGAACAGTAGGCCTATGTGGATGCTCCACAGAGATAGACTTTGATTTGCATGCAGGTGCTTCGGGTGCTCGTTTGCATATTTGCATGGTATGGTATAATAACTAGGAATTATTTTCAAGCAGTTTTAGGTGAATTAATAAATAAAGGAAATAGCAAATTATGAAATAATAAAACAAAAAACTAATCTGTAAGGAATTGGCAAAAGCCTGATTATTCTTTAAAATACTTAGTTTATTGACCAATGATTAAAAAAATCTACTATTACATAAGTAAAGTATACAAATGACATTACTTTAATAAGAGTTCGGTTTATCACCGCGGTGAAGTTAGTTTTAGGTTGGATATTCGACAGACATTCGCGGACCAGCCAGCAGCGTCAGTTTCCCCTGCTGCTGGCTGTATTACGACGGCGAGATCTACTCCGCGAAACGAGACTTTCACTTAAAGGTGGGGTAGGTAAGTTTGAGAAACCGGCTCGAGATACACTTGTTGTTATATTCCATGGAATGCTCTTAACATCCCGATAGCAATGACAACAAATCCATAAAAAAGTTTCATCTGTGGAAGCCGTAGTAGGCCTACTGTAAAAAGCACAACCAATCATTTTAGCCGGCCCGGCTAAAATAACTGGATGGCCTACCTGCCTGTCAGCCTTCCATCTGTGCACAAACTTATCTCGTGCCCTCATTGGTCATGTGTGCGTTCCTGTCTGTTGGAGGAGGGGCTCTGTAAGGAAGTGGCAGATTTTCTCCGGTTGTGTATTTTCAAATTCTAGCACACTCGAGCTGGTTTCTCCTAAATTACCTACTCCACCTTTAAGGCCGCTACATATGAGGTGTGACCATAGGGTGTGACCATAGACTGGGTGTGACACACCAGACCCGGCGGCAGACATACATCTGTGGGCGGGCATTTCATTTATCAGGGCGGGCCCACCCCCCGACCACCAGGCCCCACCCCATTTTAACGTAACATATGTGCATAGCCTATATAGTTGCAGACAGATTTAGGCGTTATGTTTGTGCACGCAATGAAACCTTTTGAGCATAGGAAATGTACACATGTGCTCAGGATAGAGGCACAAAAATAACGCTACTTCAGCACCATGGATGGATTACCTATGAGTAATTTAAAACATTTAATTACATTACAGAAAAAAGCTGTGAGAATGCTGCATAATGTACTAAGAAAAAACAATGTATTGAGTCAAGGCTGTTAACATTTAAAGATGTAATAGAATATCAGACGGCTTTAGTTATGCAGCAAAAAACAGAATACTGCCAGAAAATATACAAATATAATATGCAAATGTATTTAATTTCAGAAGATGAGCATCAGGAGGAAATTACATGTTAAACATCAGTTTGCACAAACTACTTTAAAGCAGAGGTGTGTCTCTTGGCGTAAAGAAGTGGAATTAAACAAATAACAAATAACAAATATATTGGCAAACATACAGTGAAAAGAACACACTGAAAAATACCCAATATTTTGTTCACATTAAAGCTTGAAAACAACGGCTTAGTCTACATCGTGATATGATTGTTTGCTACTTACACAATGTACTCAGGGTGGGCCTAATAAAGCTGTAGCCGACGTTTCCCAGATGAATGGAACCTCCTCAGCAACATCTCTTTCCACTCATTCTTGCATTTTTTTGTCAGGTCCTTCTCGAAACCAAGTTGGATTACATTTGCTATCCAAGTGTGAGACATGCTCCTTCGGTGCTCACTGAAAACGTTTTTCAGTGTGGAAAAAGAGTTCTCACATAAAGCTGTCGAAGCTCCAAAGGTAAGTGAAACCTTAAATGCGGGGAGAACACTTGGCATTGCCTCAAGCGTCGTGTGGAGATGACCAAGTATGTTTTTCAATGTCCATTTCCCATCCTCTGGTGGTGTGATGCTGTCCACGTGTTTCAGAATCAGCTTTTTGGCCACAATGAACTCAGCATCAACGAGCGTGGTTCCAGTCAGTTTAAGCAAAGGTTCCACTTTTTCGGGCTCCAGGAAGAAGCTGCTTTCCGGGTTGAGTGAAGCAATAGCCTCCATGAATGCGCTGTTTCGCTCTCCAAAGCGGCGCGCAATTTCTCCCGTAACTGCATCAATGCAGCTGTAAAACAGCCGCCGTTTCTCTGTCATCTGGTGGTTTTCTTGTGTTCCCACTCCCACTGTCTCTTCAACAACATAATCCTCCAAAGTTGTGTTAAGAGTTTGCCTTCTCTTGGTGGGACCGGGATGGATAGTATCATCTCCTGCGCACTCACTCCACATCTCCGTGAACACCTTTTCGGTGCGCAGGGCCTCAACACACTCTTTGGCAGTGTTGACAAGCTGTACTGCCGTTTGAAGGTCCATTTCCTCTGACTGCATCATCCTGTTAGCTGGCTCAAGCAGGGACAATATCTTGCATATTATCTGGGTGTGGAATTTAAAGCTTGGCTTTAACATTCTGCTCAGCAAGTCTGCTGCCTCCATTCTCAAGTCAACTGGAAATGATGCAGAGTTTTCAACGTGTCGTAGTAGTTCCACTATATCCTGAAAATATTTCAGAATAATCTGAACAGTGGCCAGGTGCCCTGTCCAGCGCTGTTCGAGTAAACGCTTCAGCGTGTTTCCCTGGTAATGTGCAGCAACGGTGGGCTTTTGTGTGAACTTGTAGAGGACATTACAGATGTTGAATAAATCCTCAATGGCTCTCTCACCGGACATGGCGTGAACAACGACCAAGTGCAGCTGGTGGTTGAAGCAGTGCACATATGGGATTTCTCTGCCCAGTTCATCTTGAAGGAGTCTTTGAACCCCACCGTGTCTCCCCGACATAAGACTTGCTCCATCGTATACCTGGCTGAGAATTGTGTCTGTGCTCAGGCCAGCTTTGCGTATTTCATCAATGAGTGTCTGTGTGAGGGTTTTTTGCATCACCTGCAACTGCTGTGGCGATTGTCAAGAGCCTCTCTTTTATGACATAGTTCTCATCAACAAAACGCAGTACAATTGAAATGTTTTCACAGCCTGTTGGGTCTCGGGTTCCATCCATTTTGACAGTGTAAATGGAGTCGCCTATTTCCTCAACAATATGCTCCGTTACAACTTTGCTCATCAGGTCAATTATTTCGTTTTGTATATCATGGCTTATGTAGGAAGCATTTTTGGGAATGGTGGGGGCAATTTTCGCGAGTTCTGGGTCCTTTTCTATGGTATACTCAAACAATGACAAAAATAACCCACTGCCAGACTTGGACATACACTCTAAAGAGTCGTGGTCACCTCGGAAAGGAAGATTGCTGGTAGAGAGAAAAGTCACAATGTCAATAATGGAGCCCACGTAATATTTGTTACGAGCCAGCTGATCTTTGTTGACAAGAGTTGTGATTTCCTGACCAGTCTCGATGCGCATTTGTTTTTCTCTCCACAATTTCTCACAGACTAAATGTTCCTTGGAAGAGCTGTGTTTGCTAAGACCCGTGCCCTTTTGTAAGGCATGCTTCCAGTCTTTGAAGTCTTTTATGGTGAACGATGCGTCATGATGATGAGCCTTAAACTTTCTGCATGGGAAACAGTACGCAGCATCGCCTTTTACGGATTATTCAAGCCAGGGTCGGTTTTGGTACCATGAGCTGGCAAAACTACGTTTTTTCCCGGAGAAGAGCCGAGAGGGGAAACTATCCAGGACTACCTGTTTTGGTGTATCCACGCCAAGGTCCTCTGGAACTAGAAAACTAAAATCTCCAAGATCACGAGCGTTTAGAATGGGAGATGGGCCTGGGCTGCTAAAGGTTGAACTGCTGCTCCTGCCCGGCCCCGAAGAGGCTTCGTCTGACAACGTTGACTCGGGACCTGGTGGAGGAGAAGGAATAGGTGGCGGGAGACAACTCAAGTTGCCAGCATCTGGTGCTGAGTTGTCAGTGCCACAATCCTTTTGTGAGCTCTTATTGTTCGTGAACCACTTCCTAATATCCATTGTTGCCGATACATATAAAAAAGGATAATAGCCTAGCCAAACTAACCGCCACAGTAAACTGACAGGCTGCTGTGACGAGTCTCACTTTAAAAAAAAAACACACACAACTCAACCCTGCGAAAAACCAGTCTCGCGCACAGAGATTCATTCAGAATTTCATAGCAAAATACAAAAATGATATTATACTAATGTTTCAACATAGTTTAATACAAAAATAAATGGTATGACAAAGCCCTACAAATAACAACAATAAACATAATAATACAAACATTTAAAAAATATTTTTATATAATTTCTTTTAATCAGCCCTGATTTCTCATGGGCGGGCCCAAATCCTGGATGGGCAGGCCCGGCCCCATGGGGCCCGCCCATGACGCCGGCCCTGTGACACACCAACCTGAGACCAAAGAACGCGTACCGAAGGCGTCCCGACTTTTACGTCCGCTACGTCGCCTGCGTCGCCCGCCTACGAACACACCGCAAAGACTCCAGGGTTGCATTCCGATAATCCAAAAATCAGCTCCTAAATTCTAACCCTATCTCCTATTCCTTGACCTCTGAGTGAAACGTCACGGGGTTAAGGGATAGTGGATAGGAGAATTCAAAAGGACTTAGGAGAAGAGACTTTAGAGAATCCGAATGCACTTTCACTATCCGACGTGTTTATGATGCGCCAGCGGACGTCATAAATGTGCGTCTGCTGCTGCTGTGGGGAAACTATGGAAACTACAGTTTTCTATACAGCGGACTACAACATGGATGTTTAATAAGAACGAGGGACTACTGTAAACTCATCTAGAGACTCGGCACCGTGCTCTGATGCTGTTGCTTTATGCTTTATGAACGTGGACAACAGAGAAACATATTCTTCATGACCAAAGTTGGAATTGAAATAAAAAAGGAAAGTGAAACTTATGCTCGTCACCCTCTCCCTCCGGTCCAC